GATGATGTTAAACATCCTAAAATACACAGACAGTCCCTCCACAACAGAGAAGTATGTGCTCCACATGTCAGTCAGGCCAAGGTTGAGGAATCCTGCTCTGGTAGAAGCAGCTCTGCCCTCAGTGAGTTTAAGTCTCGTACAGGTTACAGAAAGGAGACTGGCAAGTACAATAAAGCACGCTGTGATGGTAAAAGTGTGAGCTACAGAATCTGTACACAAGTAGGAGCCTTCGTTCAAAGTTTGGCTGCCAGCAAAAGCTTTAAGAAACACTCTGATCAATTCCCAGAACGGGCTATCACCTGGAACAGCAGTGTTCAGCAGGAGACAATTTTAGATCTAACCTCATTGAACATAAGTGAGTTGGATGGTTGTTTGAAAGAGGGCAGACGCCTTAAGTTTGTTGGGAACTCTACACTGGGGATGGAGTTCTTAATTCCTCGTAGGACTCAGAATTCAGAGTGTCTTGAGTCGTTAGGAGAGGAGGCTGGAAACAGAATGAATGTCATTGGCAAGAAACATAGGGCTGTACAAGCTGCTTAAAGAGAAGATGTAGCTGAGTTGACAAAGTGAATAATGGCTTATGTTTTAGAACCTCAAATTCTGCAGAGTCCTTAAATATGTATCTCGTTTGACCTGCCGCAATCTGAGACACCAAGTATTATCATTCCTTCTCCCTTTTTTCAATAACTAAGGAATCAGAGCCATGGAGAGATTCAGTGTGACCTTGGACGAGTCACTTAATATTTCTCTAATGTTTCTCTATAAAAGAAGAGGGGTTGCAAGGCTCTTCTTCCTAATGCAAGTTCAGTTTGTCTAAGGACACATCTAGGGAAACAATGGAGCTGGGATAAGACCAGCCTCACTGCCTCTCTCAGACCCAGTGCCTTTCCCATTCACACCAAGGCTGCTTCCTGGACCATGAAGTCAGAACAGGTAATAATATGACAGTGATTCAGCATTGTACCTCTTGGGTTACCAAAAAGAGCAAGGATTTTGGATGCATCAATTATAATGTATAATGCAGAGAAACTTAAGCTGGGTTTCCCAGATACCTAAGAACTAATCAGACCTTCCCTCTAATATTTTATTTTAAGCTGACCATAGAAGCTTAAAAAAATACTGTGACAAGCTGGGAAGAAAGGTTCATAGGAGAGTGATGCTAGGGTAAGAAAATGATATAACCCAGAATGTGTGTGCAGAACTGAGGATGTTCTGCCTAGAAAAGAGATGCAGAAGTGGCGTGGCTTTCTGCCTTTGATTTTGCTCTGTTCTTTGGCAGGGGTATTTTAACTTTTCCTCCCAGAGAACGATGACCAGTGTGTACATACACACACATGCACACCCACATACAACAGGGATGACATACTAGATTCCATACTGAGACATTTATGTTTTTGCTTTAATTAAGACTGGCACATTAAAAATGAGCTTTGGGGAGAGTCTTCTCTCAAGATTTTAAAGATTTAACTACTTCTCACTTCTCTGCAATGGAGCAATGTTTTCTTGTTAGAAGGAAGACTGAGAAGCTGCCTGACTGCTCAAATTTCTTTTCATCTTCATAATTCTGTGATTTCCAAGATCATGAGCGAGAGTTATGTAGGACTTCAGCCATGACCTGAGAGTTTCCGAGACACTAATGGAATGTATATTAACTTATCCAAGCATGATAGAACCACTGAAGACTCTGGAGTGGCAATTAACTGGATTTCTCCACTTGTTCTTCCAGCTGATTGTAGTTCTTTGCAGGAAGAACTACATGTCAGGTTTAACCCCTCAAAGGACCAATTAGCTTTGCTGTATCCCAAGGGGATAGTCTGTCTCTGGAATCCCAGCTGACCTCCCGCACATACCCACAAACTCATCATTTCTCTCCTGGGAGGCCAGGTGAAAATTTTGGGTCTCTTCAAAACCATCTGAAGAAAAAACACAAAGTATGTGGGCAAATACTGGTGGGATAGTTTTCTCTTCATGCATGAAGGATAACACTGTCAAAATAGAACCCTAGTGAAGAAGTTTCCAAATGGCTTCACCCTCAGGATAGAGCAATGGAATGAGAGATTGACTCCATGCACATGAGATGCTTTAGTTTTTAGGAAGGAAATATTATATAGAACTCCCAAATAGCATCCCCAGGGCCCACCATATTACCTAATATAGAATGTAGAAGCAGTAGGAGAAAGGTAATGCTATCCAACATTATTGTGCCTTTCCAGTGTGCCAGGAACTATCTCACACACCTTACCCACATTCATTCATTTAATCCTTGCAACTACTGTATAACGTAGACACCCGCTTTACAGCTCAGGAAACTATCGTACAAAGCAATAAAGTAACTTGCCCAAGGCCACAAACTAGTGTGTACTCAATAAATATTTATCAAATGAATGAATGAATGAATAGAATATACATCTGTTTTAGAGGAGAGAGTCCTTTATTCGAATTCTCAGTTTATAGCAGTCCTGCTTTCTAAGCAGGGCACTTTCAAGAATGATGACAAATGAAGTCTGGATGACAGATGAAGTCTCAGAGCTGGTAAGTGACAGAGCAGGGATGTGAACTTGGGTCCGACTCTGCAACTGCACTGTTAAAGCACTCAGCTATGCTTCTTTCTCTTTAATTGCAGCTACGAAACAAAAGGATTGGACTAGACTAGCTTTCATAGCCCATCTGGCTCTAAAAATTCTACAATTCCATTACCAAAGTAAGGTTTATGTAAAATAAAACATGATGTATATTTTATTACTTTAAATTTTAAAATCTGATATTTTTATTTAACCAATCATCATGGAATTATCCTTTAAAATTACATTGGAGTTATTAACAGCATGTTTTTAAATTGTTTTTAAGATAAGTATTTTAAATAGATGAAAATGCATACTTAAAGATTGCATTCTCCTAACCAGTACCGTCACATGGCATATTGAATTATATCATCATCTAAATTTAGAAGGTTTCTAAAAATTGAAAAACATCTTTCTGTTACACAGAGAAAAGAAGTCAAATTATTAATTGTGAAAAAAGTTACTTTGATATTTGCAGAGATAAGGAGATTGCTGAATATTATGAAAAGTATTGAGTGATTTTTACAAGAGCTTAAAGCTGCTAGCAATATTAGAAACTACTTGAGATTTGCTTCTAAATATTGTTTTGCTTTAAGAGATCCTTCTGGCATCCAAGTGATGCATCAGAACAATGTGAGTCCCTGCCATAGTATTAAAGGACGTACAATCCGAGGCAGGGCAAAGAGAGTGGATAAATAGGCAGGTCTTAGAGTTGGGAAGAATTGGTTCCAAAACTGCATCCTAGCTGTGGCCTGGAGTGATTTCAGTGAGCCTCAGTATCCTTATCTGTAAAATGGGGATAATAATAGAACCTGCCTTATAGAATCATTGGATTCATTCAATGAGATCATATGTCTAAAGCCCTTTGCACATTTCCTGGACCAAGGTAAGTACTTAGTAAATAGTAGCAATGGGTAGTAGTGGTATTATTATGTGGAAATCTGGCATTCTGACTGCTATTGTGTCTGGATGCTCTTTTGGAGGCAAGTGGAGGTATTTTAACAGACAAGAAGAGTCAGACTAGATATTTGAGAAGTCGATAGTTCACACCATTGTCACCTTTTATGATGAACCCCAAGAGAGCTTTATATTTGTCCAGACATGCAAGAAATCTTGAGTCAGCGGATGTACTTTGAAAGAAGTGGCAAACAGATGAATACATTAAAGCTTTTTGGTTTCTAGATTCTGCTTTGTATCCACTCTCTCTTTTCTCTCTCTGAAAATATTATAATACCCCTAAGTTGTGATTCATAGAATCAGATTTTCTAACCAGAGAGAAAAGGTTCAGTTCAGAGCTATCATTCCCCAAAGAGGAGCTGAATTCAAGACATTGTTAGAACTAACAGACCCAAAAGCTTCAACTCTCTGAAACCCACTGTTAGATAATAAAGTTGTTGAGGCATATAAAACTCTTAGAACAATGGCTAGCATCTTGTAAATGCTCAATAAATCCTGCTGCTACCACTGTTATTGTTGATTCTGTGTATCACCATCTTCATAACATTTATCTTCTTGCTTCTTGACCAAACTACAAAGCTCCTGGTTGGGAGCAGATTAGAACCCAATGCAGTGTAACCAAGAGTCCTCCTGGGAACAGGTCAGTCACAAAGCAAGAGGAAGTACCAGGCGAGCCAAATCAGGTGACTCTTAAGAAGACCCCTGGTAGATTGACATAGGAAAAAGTTGCTATGATTTAGGTTCTATAGCCTCTACCCTGTTTCAGCTAGCAGATTCTCCTTTACTCATGAATGGGAGTGTTAGAATACAATTAAGTGCCTCATTTTCTTTGAATTCTTTGAGGGCTGGAAATAATAATTATATACAGAGAACCTTATATTCATTGTCTGTTTAATCCTTCTAATCAGAGCTTCCCAACTGGTAGCTGGGTGCATTTACAGGTAGTTGGAGATACTGATACTCTTAGCCCTTGGGGAAAGCCAGTACCACCCAGTTAGTCACCTCTGGTTACCCTTGCCAATAAACAGCATTTTCTAGTGTGCTGAGAGGACGGCATAGCAACTATTATCCCTGGTTTAAAGATAAGGAAAAAACCTGAGACAAAGAATTTGTCCAGTATCTCACAGCCAGTTAGTGTATAGGACCAGGCGCTTTTAACTCTGGTTTTCCTCCAGGCTGAGTTAGTCACACTGTCTTTGACTTTCCCACATTTCCTTGTCCTCACTTCAAGCATAGTGTGTTATCTTAGTTTAAGATTATTTATTCACATCATAGTGATACCACCCCTCCACCAAACAGCTCCTTAAGGGAAAGGCTATGGCTTACTCAGCCTTGAGTCCCTGGCACCTAGAAGAGTACTTGGCACATGGAAAACACACTTACAAATATTCAGGGGATGAAAGAGGAAAGGGATTTCCATATCATATGTCTTCTTCATTTTGCCACACTGTTTCTTCTCATAATTAAAAAAAAAATTATTTCCTAAATAGTTTGGTAGAAATTAGTAGCTCTTAAACCTGTGCTTATACTCAGAGATGTTAATACATTACTATTTTAGACAGGTTATTATAGAAAGCTGAAATCATCTGAGGATGCTTTTATGTTACTAATGCCAAGGAAGTGTTATTAATCAAAAAGTATTCATTAAATGCATGTAGAATATCCAGTGCTATTAGCAGGGTGATGTGGAGGAATGAAAAAAGTGTACAAGGTGTTATTTCCATCCCAGATAAGCTTTGAGATTCATTGGGGAAACAGAATGAATAGAGACGAGACAAAATAATTAAGTGATCAACTGTGGAAATTCCACAACAATAGAAAAAAAGAGGGGCTCGGATGAGATGGGTCTGGGTTTGAATTTCAACGCTATCACATACTAGCTGTGTGATCTTGGTTAAAAGACTTAACTTGTCTGATCCCCCAAGCTGTCTCATCTGTAGAATGGAGGAGTGATATGACCCCACAGGGTTGCTCTGAAGATGTGTGGGAAAGCTCTTGCTATAATGCTTAGAACATGACAGTCATTTACTTCAGTCACTTGGCAAATATTGACAGCATCACCTCTGTACAGATCTTTTTGTGTGAGCTGGGGATACAGTGGTGAGCAAAACAGATGAAATGCAGTCCCCTCCTATGTGGGGCTTGCCTTCTGAGGGGGGATAAAAGCATTAATCCGATTATCACACAAGGAAATGTAAAAGTATGGCTGTGTTAAGTCCAGTGAAAGAGAAGTTCATGAGGCCAGAATAGAACATTACATGGAGGCTTCTAAGAGAAGACCTGCCTCAAGAAGTGACATTTCAACCAAAATCCCAAGCATAAGTGAGAATTAGCCAGGCAGTGGGGTGCAGGGGGGAGCTTTGTAAGCTAAGATTTGGAGGTTGGAAGAAACTCGATGGGTTTGAGAAACAGAAGACCCGTGAGGCTTAGAATAGAGCAAAAGGGAGGCCATTAATCTCAGACCTTCCTTTCCCCCTTCCTCGAAAGTACACGAGTTCAGACAAGACAGATTATTATGAAGTTCCGCAAAGGGGGGAGTTTGCATTATGTACAGAAGGGATGGGATGTGTTGAATCTAGTCATGAAAAGGGGAAGAGAACAGAAGGCTTGAATTCCTGGAGAGAAGAATTGCAGGAGTAAGGGTTCAGGTGCCTGAGCTGGCTGAGTGGCATGCCAATGCCTTGACATATTTGGACTGACATACCAAGACTAAGAGCTAAAAAGCACAGGAGGAGAAAGTCTCTCCTTCCTTTCTGTGTGGTCTTGGGCATGTTACTTAACTTTTCCACCTCTTGGTTAAAGATAAAATGTATGTGAGAGTGACACAGTGTCTAGTAAGCTAATACACATTCTTTTATTTCCTGCTCTCCATTGCCTTCCCCCCACCCCGTAATACATGTCCTTTTATTGTAGATGAACCCCTGATTAAGACACTAGCTAACTGACAACACATCAACTGTGTTGCCCACAGATGTAAATTTTTAAATACTAGTTTAGGGTTATCTTAAAACCCTCTTGCTTGGTATGCAAATGTTTCATGTGTGGAATATCATTCTTGTTCCTGGTCTCCATCATGTAAATTGCACTTAGCCACATCTGGCCGGGTGTTAACATGAAAGACGTGACTGATGTTGAGTGTTCAAGATCCTCCAAGAGATTTAGATGGTGAGTAATTTCATTAGGGTGCTAATGACCATAAAACCTAGTTGTTATTGATTTGTCCTCCATGGAGAGATCTACTTTTCTGCCTGATCTCAATTATGGTTCATAATACAGAGGTCGTTTCAGCACTGAGTTAGCATGCTGCCCCTGTAATAATTTGTTTTCGCTTCATCTTTGTATTGACATATAACTTAATTCAGACACTATCACCAAATACTTATCAAAGGAGATGATGGAGATAGTCATTTATTTTTCAGTAAGATGCCATTATCCTTCATCTTTGTACTGTGCTTTATAGCAGTACATCTCTGGTTCCCTGAACACTTTTATTACTATTCTACTTTTCTTTTTTTTTTTAATAGTAATCTTTTATTTATTTATTTATTTTTATATTTATTTTTGGCTGTGTCGGGTCTTCGTTTCTGTGCGAGGGCTTTCTCTAGTTGTGGCGAGCGGGGACCACTCTTCATCGCGGTGCGCGGGCCTCTCACTATCGCGGCCTCTCTTGTTGGGAGCACAGGCTCCAGACTTGCAGGCTCAGTAGTTGTGGCTTACGGGCCCAGTTGCTCCTCGGCATGTGGGATCCCAGACCAGGGCTCGAACCCGTGTCCCCTGCATTGGCAGGCAGATTCTCAACCACTGCGCCACCAGGGAAGCCCTATTATTCTACTTTTCTCTCCATGCCTCTTGAGATCTTCTTAAGTCTTACGAATTTCACTTCTCATTACCTTTTATTTAGCTTATTGAAAGTGCTTCTTAGTGGGTTTCCCCATATCCATTATGTTCCCTCTCCTGTCTTACACACAGCTGGTGGATCAATCTTTCTGAATTGTAGAAATGATCCCATAGTTCCCTGCAAAGACATTTAGTGGTCCCCACTGATAATGAGATTGTGCTGGATATTTTCCATACCCCTCCAGAACCACCCTACTCCACTTTGCTTTGTAACCTGAGAATCAGATTGTATGGACTGTCCCAGTGGGTCCTCTGCCATCTGGTTTTTGTTGACTTCTGCTTCGTGCAGTAGCTAGCTCAGGAGTGTTTGGCCATCCTTTGTGAGTTTACCTTAACCTTGTCCATGCCTTGTAAATGGTCCCTTTTTAAAAATTTTCTTTATTCACTCGTTTTGAATGTACCTTCGTTTTCTGCTAGGTCTCTGACAAGGATAATAAATTGAGAGAATACTTCCTAGTGAAGCATAAAAAGCCCTCCATAGCTAGGCACCATCCTTCTTTTCTGTCTTGATTTCCATTCCTATCTTAGAGACCTTGAATCTCATTCACAATGAAATAGTTCTGATTCCATGTACCTATTCTGCCTCTGCTACTTTGGTGCCTTGACACCAGCAGTGTGCTGGTAAATGTTTAACAGTCAGCTCTCCAAAAAGAAAAGCCTGATTCGTAGTGTTTGCCAATTTCTGTAGTGTAAAGTACACTCACCATGACCAATCGTAAGCTAACAACATGGTGTCATGTGAAAAGAAATGCTCACAATTGTCTCAAGACACTACTGCTTTGCATACAACTTCACCTCCACTTATGACGCCTGCTTCCCCCCACTCCCCAACAGCGCCTTACACAGAAGAACTGCCCGGTCAGCTATTCTAATTCATTTCTATTGTTCCTTTGAAGGGTACAATAACCTAATTGCCAGCCACATGTTGATGGTAATACTTCTGAACTCAGAATTTTCTCATGAGTGCTAACATGGGTAATTGTTAGATTTTGGAGACTTAAAAGTCCTGAAGCAAAAATCAGTTACCTGTCCATATTTTATCCCAAGTTGCTGAAGCTTACTACAAGTTGCTTAATTCTCCAAGAAAATAATTCTCATTTTCTGGTCTTGTGTTCAAATTATGTCTTCATTATCCTCATTTAAATATAACTTGAAGTAATAATAAAACAACATTAATATATTTCATCACTATTATAACCAGTTGAACATTCCACAGTTTAAATAGTGTACTTCTTAAACCTAAAACTCTACAGAAAGCTTTTAAGGTGTATGTTAGTCCTAGATAGATAAAGATTGCACTGCATTTTATTCTAAAATGTACTTTGTTATGAAATAACCTTTTTATTTAGTCAACCTTTCTAAGAGATAACTTTAATTTTGCTTCATTAAAAATATCATTCCTATATTTAAAGTTCAAAAAGTAACTACAATTTCCATTAGAAAAGTAGGGAAAGTAATAAAGATGATCTTATAATAGCATTGGACTATATTATATTTTAATGGTTAGGATGGCAATACAAGATATTTAACTGAAACTATTCTTTTAACTTTTAATTTAATAAGACACACGAATTGAAGAGAGTATAGAATGCGTTATGATTTACAATGCCTGCTGGCATTTTAATGTTCTCAGCTGTTCCTTTGCACCATTGATTACACAAAGCCTAAACTGTGTAATTAAGAACCATCCCACTAATGTGCTCCGGTGGATTTATGGCATCCAGGTCATCCATGAGCTGAAGTACTTTGAGTATTGGACCATTAGTTTCGAATGCATACTAACATAGATGAACACATTGGCATCAAAGAGAAACTATAATAAGAAACTATTTCAAATTCAGGGAGGTAGCTTTCACCTGATTTTAATTTACTAAACCAATTTAAAAACCAGATTACTAAAATCCTAATTAACTGGAATTCTTTTCCCCTAGAGTCCACTTTTAGGAGAAAATGGGAAATTGGAAGAAAATAAGTTAATAACCAAGGTTTTAGATTTTTAAAAAATTTCCAATATGAGTTCATTATCAAGGCCTTGAAGAAAAAATGTCTTTTAAAAAAACAAAAATTTAACTACCATTATCAAAGGCAAGAAAGTGGGTATTAGAGATTGAAGCTAAAAGCTTTCTAAGAAACCTTTAAATTTGCAAATTCCCTGAGCCTAATCTTCTGATTAACCAAGGTTTTACTTTACAAGTTAGTTTTATTCTGTGTACCTGGGAGAACGCTGCAGTGTATTCATGCTACTCACTGGAGGTCCCATAACATCACTGAGGCAGGGCTTCCCTGGTGGCGCAGTGGTTAAGAATCTGCCTGCCAATTCAGGGGACACGGGTTTGAGCCCTGGTCTCGGAAGATCCCACATGCCGCGGAGCAACTAAGCCCGTGCACCACAACTACTGAACCTGTACTCTAGAGCCCGCGAGCCACAACTACTGAGCCCACGTGCCACAACTACTGAAGCCCGCATGCCTAGAGCCCGTGCTCTGCAACAAGAGAAGCCACCGCAGTGAGAAGCCCGCGCACCGCAACAGAGTAGCCCCCGCTCGCAGCAACTAGAGAAAGCCCGCGCACGGCAACGAAGACAGCCATAAATAAATAAGTAAATAAATTTATTTTTTAAAAAAAAGATCATTGAGGCAAGTGGGTTCACAGAAAGGGTTCTCACTCAGACTGTAACATACTTGGGTTTAATATCAGCTCTTTTACCAATTAGCTGTGGGAATTCTAGTAAGTCACTTGATCACTGAGCCCTAAGGTCATTTATAAAATGAAAATAATCACACCTGCCACCATCTCGTGCTGTGAGAATATAGGCAAAGCACTTCCCACGGTGCTGTTCCTCTTGCTCTATATCCTGCTCCGCACCCCTGGCCTTTGGCTATCTTAGCACTCTTCCTTACAGAGCCACTGCAGCCCCCAAGCCTTCAAAGGGAAGGTTTGAACAGGCAGGCACACTTTTTGCTATATTTATCCTCTCCCAATGATGAAGAAAATCAGGTTCTTTGAGTCCTTATTAGAACAAAGTCATATAAAAATAGTTTAGAAAAAGAACTGAAACCAAGTTTATTTTAAGAGTTCAGGGACAGATGGCTTTATTTTGCTTCTTTAAAAAAGATGGCATTCTGTAGAAATACAATGTGCTTAAGGTCTATCAAACTGAAGGGCAAATACTGTCACTCCCTGAAACACTGCAGTCTTTAACCTTGAGTAGCAGGAACTTTTTACACTAAAGATACGTATACTTCTATATGTCGGTCTCCAAATTTTAAAGGAGAGTATAGAATGCGTGGATATGTTCAATGTGGAACATATCCCTTCAATGTGGAAGGGATATGTTCTTGACATTTTCTCAGTCTGAGATTTAAACAGCACTTAGTCTCCTATTTGGCAAATTCTAAGCAGTCAGATTCTTTAGAGAAATATCGCTAGATGAGATCTAAAAGTATAGGCTCCCCTCTGAAGGACATTGGATGCCTTCATTTTTTCAATAAAAATTTTGTGAAAATGTCAGTTAGGTAATAAAGATTACTACTGGATATAAAAAAATATAACAAAAGATAGTACAGAACTCTCTTTGAGCAAAGAAAAACGCAATAAATATTCTGAAATGGATGTAAAAATGTTTGCCATTTTTTAGATGAGAAGTTATTTTCACTATTACAAACTAAACTCTCGTTCAGTCTGGGAGCAAAAGAAAATACAATCTAATGGAGTTGCTTGACTTAGTTGGCATCCAAAAATCTACAGCGTTTGTATTAGCAGCCTACATATTGGCACTTTCCATACCAACCACGATGAGTCTATTTTTTTCATTGGTCTATCTGTAGTTTTGAATGTATAATCAAGAGCCATTGTAGCAACTGGCTCCTTATGGAACATTTATTAACATGGCATGGTGAAATCCATGTGTGCAGTGAAAATACTAAGCAATATACTGTGAAGTTCTTAAAAAGAAGTAGTGAAACTCAGCCTTCTAGGCATGTTAAAGCTGCCCAACTAAAGATCTCGCATTTATTTAACATTTAATCATGTCAGTAATTACAGAGCAATTATTTTATATAGACATATTATGGGAGGAGAGTTAAAATAATTTGTAAAAAGACTAAAATTAATTAATTTCATGGTAGTTTTTATATCACTGCGCTTGCTGGTACTAAAAAGGAGCAATAAAAATAGCCCAGTTGTTGGTTCATGTTTTGTTCTGTTTAGCCTTCTGTCGGTTTCTCAATTCAATAATGTTAAATTGCTACCTTATGATTCCAGTTATG